CGACTCCACAAAAATTGACGGCAAGCAGTGAATGAAGATGAAGTAGCCGGTTAACGGCAAAGTGTCACAAAAAATGATCCTCATAATAACAATGAGCGCTGCTATCAATTAACTCGCACTGCTTGCTTAGGTTTTGCGTGTTGAACTTGATTTGGAGAAAGAGAGATATGCTACCGACTAATAAGTGTTCACATTTTGTTTTTGTTCTTTACACAGTTTCTACAATGCCACCGAATACCTTATCTTCATTCCCGATCAGTGATCATTCCCGGGCTGGACCACGCAGATCAGCTAGTTAAACTATAAATTTCAAATGCCCGAAAAATAGGAAGAATGAATATTCAAAAATTTGCGGGGAATCTCCCACTCGCTTACGCATGCTCTTTAGGCTTTGGCCATACTTTGCCCGTGTTGCCGATGTTTCCAGTGTTGCCAGTGTTGAAAGTGTTGCCGGTGTTGAAAGTGTTGAAAGTGTTACCGGTGTTGAAAGTGTTGCCAGTGTTGAAAGTGTTGAAAGTGTTGCCAGTGTTGAAAGTGTTGAACGGAGATCATCAGTCTAGCAGTTTCATTCTTTCTCGAACGATCTCACCGGCTGGTGAATACGTTGGAAATGGAATTGGGGAATGAGAAATGAAACTGAAATGAGATGGGGAATGTTTTCGCATGCAAAAGATCCTCAAACAAACTTTTTGGAAAGTGGACGGCTTGTCTGGAATAGGCAGTCTCTAATATTTGAAAACGCTGCAGACCTCACTTAGGTCCTTTACTCACTAATCGCAAGCGATGCAGGATTCGAACTAAAACACATTACTACTCAGACGTCAGCTTTCTCAAATATTGGAGATTGCCTATTCCAGACAACCCGTCCACTTTTCAAAAAGTCTGTTTGAGGATCTTTTGCATGCGAAAACATTCCCCATCTCATTTCAGTTTCATTTCTCATTCCCCAATTCCATTTCCAACGTATTCACTAGCCGGTGAGATCGTACGAGAAAGAATGAAACTGCTAGACTGATGATCTCCATTCAACACTTCCATAACCGGCAACACTTTCAACACCGGTAACACTTTCAACACTTTCAACACCGACAACACTTTCAACACTGGCAACACTGGAAACATCGGCAACACGGGCGAAGTATGGCCAAAGCCTTACATCCGACATTTTCGCAATCGCATTTTTTGAAATCAAAACGAAAATTGGCTTTTCTCAAATACAATCCTTACTGGTATGAAAACTTTTGAAAGTATGACTATGCATTTCCGGTTTTGATACGTAAAAAAAATTCAAGAAATGAATCTCCTCGGATTTTTGCGAATTGATCCAATTTTTGTTCCAGATCCTAGCCGTGGAGAAAAATTGCAGCGAGTACATATGATAAAGTACATAGAGACCGTAGAATTTTTCTAGACGGAGATCCGATATTTCAAGCAATTGAGAAATTTTGAACGTTGGCTTCAAACCCAAGTACGAGCAAATGTTTGGAAGCCGTTATAGAGCTTGTTTTGCTCCATCGAATAGTTATCCAAGCATTGAAAAAAGCTATGGAACAACTCATAAGTAGTTCTCTCAATTGCACATATGCACCTTCATTTACAAAAAAAGTACGATACCCTTTTTCCTTCGAACAATCATTCTTGTAAATGTTTCATTGGTTCAATCATAGTGTGACTCTCCACTGCTGGTCTGCTCTAATGGAAAAAAATTGTGCAACGACACAAAGCGGCTTTTGAGATGAGGACGACTGTATATGCGTGGTCAACGTCAGTGAGAGTGATGATTCACAGCAAAAAATAGACACAGTTTCTGTAACTAATGACATCCGATGAATGGTACTGTAATTAGCTCGGATAACCCGTATATTAGGTTGTCCCATAAGTCTTTCCATTTGTGTGTTTTCGCTATAATAAGTCACACACTTCTTATTCTATAATAGATAGACATCAGAATAGCATTCGATAGAGCAAAGCAAGCTCTATAAGATGGCGCCTATACTTTTGCACAAGCTTTGGTCCATCTTGAGTTTTAAACCAAAATCTAAAAGGTTTCGGATGCCCAGAAACCGAAAAAATTTTCAGACTTCTAAGGCAGGCGCTATACTACTCGAGGTGTATAGCATGGCGACGGGCGATCGCCAGTCGCTACGACTGGCGATCGTCAGTCGTAGCGACTGGCGATCGCCCGTCGCCAATACTGGCGACTGTCCTCTATACGTATCGATCACTAACAAGTTACCACACGTCCAATCGATACACATTTAATGTGTAGTCGCCAATACTGGCGACTGGCGATCGCCAATCGTAGCGACTGGCGATCGCCAGTCGCTAATCGATACGTATCAAACGTGTAGTCGCCGATATTGGCGATCGCCAGTCGTCAGTGTTGGCGACTACACATTACTCATTTCCAACTTCCATTTCAAAGTACTCACCAGCCGGTGAGGTCGCCCTAAAAAGAATGAACTGCAAGACCAGTGATTTTCACATTCAACACTTAACGGTAACTTGTTTGGCGATCGCCCGTCGTAGCGACTGGCGATCGCCAATATCGGCGACAAAAATCGCTGGTTTTACACGTATTTAATGCATATCGATCGTCGCCATGCTATACTCCTCGAGGAGTATAGCACCTGCCTAACTCGCTCACGCATATACATTCCACATTGAACATTCATATGTGCTGTTGCTGTATTTTTTTATCGGCTGGAAATCAAGAAACCGAAAATTTCCGTTTTTGCCAAAGTGATGCTGTGCTGTTCTTACACTAACATTTGTATACTACGAGCCCTTAGAAGTATAATTGTAAATTTTTAGCTCTCTGTAAGCTCTGGTTTCCGAGAAATGTTGATTTAAGCGTGAAAAACCCGAGTGAAGAAAGCTAAATTTGATATTTCTTGTGAAGCAGTGCATATAGAGAGCCAAAAATTTACGGTAGTACTTCTAAGGGGCTTTTGGTATACAACTGTTAGTGTAAGAACAGCACACTTTGATAAAAACATGGAAATTTCGATTTCTTGATTTCTAGCTGATAAAAAAATACAGCAACAGCACATACGAATGTTTGATGTGGAATAAACGCCATCTTATAGAGCTTGCTTTGCTCTATCGAACGGTATCCTGATTATTTAGAACTAGCTGGTGGCCCCGGTCTCACCCGAGACTTCAAGTTAGTTAAGCAAAGAGAACTTGTAAACTTACGGCTCTAGATTTCTTCTAACATGCGCATAAAGCGCTTTCAGACTAACTGCCGCACCCTACCAACTTTAAGACTGAAATGGACTTTACCGCCCCTGCTTACATGCTTATATGTAAAAATGATCGGTTGCCATTGATGGCCCTTCATTTCCTTAGGTTTGAGTAAACAAATCAATAAATCGATAGAATGGCTCGGCGAATCTCCGCGGAAAGTAGCTCTAAACCACCGCCGGGGTCAAAATCATACGTGTGCGAAGTTTCAGCCGGATCGGTTCAGTGGCGCGCGTTTCTATAACGAACGAACAACTAAACGAACATCCTCACAGACATTGAGTTTTATATATATATAGATTACAAGTGTGTGACTTATCATAGCGAAAACTCAAAAATTAAAAGACTTATGGGACAACCTAATAGATCATGTCAAGAGAAACTGAAAGTTTCGGATAGCAATAAAACCCACCCTTGGATACCATAAAATCGTTGTCAAATGAATCATTCATACAACATTATTTTGATAATGCTAAACACTCGCAGATCTCGTCAATCTCCGTTTGCTGCTGATGTTTGAATGCAGCATCCGGACACGTCAATTGAAGATTTCTTTAGCTTATAACGGTTTATTCTCCCCACTGGGACCCTGTGGTCATAACCGCGTGCGATGCGCACTTTCGTTTGAACTCGATAGTTGTAGGGCCATTGAAGGCACGCCCATAAAGGGGCGGCCATGACATTCTGACGCATTTCCTCGCTTCAGAAGCAAAATGGTAAGACGCCACTTGGGCAAGAGTTTTATCAGAATGGGTTCTGTTGCAAACTACGTTCTTATGTAATCGTCACACTTGCTCTGACGCTGCTTATTATGAAAACTGGTGTAGGATAGGGGGGGGGGGGGAGAGGCAAAAAGGTTCTTCTCTTCGTGCAAAACTGTACACAACACAGAAACCCACTCAAACCTAACGCAGCCACGGCTCATGACGCATGATGGGATTGACCCTGGTGCATAGCTTGACCCAGCGCAGACGAGAGAGCGTACGCCGCGCGGAGGGCGGCAGAAGACGCGAGAAGGTCGCTGCCGCCTTCGCCGCAGAACTGCGCTGTTGGCTTGCTTCCAGTTTTTGAATGTTTATCGGATTGCACCGGAAGTGTCCCAATATTCCACTTTAAACGGATAAAAGTTCACATCTGCCATTTGTCGGTGTTCCTTGAAAGCTGGCTTTCTTTACTTATGTTCTCGAGTACCTCTGTGCGTTGTTTTGTAATCTCATGTTTTTCATAAGTCTAACCTCCATTCACATTACTTCGTGTTGTTTTTCTATCACATAATGGGACAGAGTAATGTCTAATTGTGCATATTCGGTCTTCGCTTTTCCTTACTCCATCATCTTGTAAAATTCTGGCAAATATAAGTACGATTCTACTGACTAAACACTTATATTCTGCGTGTCATAGTCTTTTTGTTATTACTTTGCTACCATAAAATTGCCATGGCTTTCCATTTTTTCGTCTCGATTACCCGCGATTGATTTTTCTCGTTTTCGGTCATGTTGATCCACCTTTGACAGAATTTGCGTACTGACGGAGATCTTTTCTATTCTTCTTTTATTTTTCCGAGCACTTACGGGTTTATCAGATCTGTCTTGTAGTATGCTGCAGATATCCGCTGCTATGATATCACCAGGATCCATCTTATCATTTCTTTGAACGCTTGAGCTGTAAAAACCATGTCAAACATATTAACATGTTTGACAGATGCTCTCTTCGCTCTCCGTTTCTTACATACAAAATGCGGATATTGCGATTTCAGATTCAGATGCAACGGATTGAGACAGCCATCGAATGTGCCATCAAATCACGACGGTATGGTGCTTTGATCACAGAAACATTCGATCTCGCTCGTGTGCAGGCTAAATCGGCAATGGAAAAGGGCCTGGATCCATTTCCAGTGGTAGTGAAGGACTGTTTTGCGTAAGCTATCATTTTTTTTTTAGCTATTTTCACTTCTCTAAAACTCCCATTTTCAGAGTTGAGGGGTATCCTATGACTTGTGCCTCAAAAATGCTAGAAAAATATGTCCCACCCTATACCGCAACTGTTGTGCAGCGACTTATTGATAAAGGTAAGCTGATGGCTCTTTATAGCCTAAGACTTTTCTTACTGATCCGTTTGTAGTCGTATAGGAGGATGTGTGATTGGAAAAGCCAACATGGATGAATTCTGCATGGGTACATCTAGCGTGCTCGGCTACTTTGGACCCGTCAAGAGCGGATTGACCGTAGGTCAAACTTTCTAACTCAACATCACAGCTTTTTGAAACAATATTGTGAGGGTAGGGGTGGTGATGTAATGTATATGCGCATCGTCTGTCAGATTTGTCTTTGAAATCATTTATTTGAGATGATCCGTTGAGTTGATTGAAAATAAATAGGGTTTAAGTACTGTGAGGCTGAATATTCACGCCCAGCGCATGCTTCATTATTGTTGACTTTTTTAGGAAGACGTTGAGGAAGATTGGCTTGTACCTGGAGGCTCTTCTGGTGGATCAGCGGTCGCAGTTCAGCTAGGCATGGCCGATGTGTAATTTTTCGTTTTTTCTGTACTGCTTTTCAAATGATATTATCTTGCCTGTTACAGAGGTCTTGGCTCTGACACTGGTGGATCATCTAGAAATCCTGCTGCCTTCAATGGCTTATTTGGTTTAAAACCAACTTTTGGAACATTGTCACGACATGGCTTAGTTCCACTGGTAAAGGATAATATATTTCAAATTTTGAGCATGAGTTTCAGTTTTTAGGTAAACTCTTTGGACGTCCCTTCGATACTGGCCAAAAGTGCTAAAGCTTGTTGGAATTTTTTAGGTGTGTATATATATGACGCTGAAATCAAACTTTTGAATATTGTCAGATAAAATGGCTGGGATTGATAAGAATGATGCAACAAGCGTGGAAGCTCCCCCTTCTGAAAAGTGTACCACACTTTCGCGACTGCGCATCGGTGTGCCCAAGGTAATTTTCCAGTTTATATGCTTTTCTCTGTTGTAAATTCCACCTTCCCTCCACTTGCCAGTTGCGTGTCTTGAAAGATGAAGTTTGAAACCAGTCACACCTTTTCTGTTTAGTCTCAAATATTCAGTAGTCAGCAATAAATTTTATCTGCGAAAAAGGTATTCAGGCAACATTGAACGAAATAACATTTTGCAGTCGAAGTCTACTCAGTAAATTCTTATCTATTATATAATTTCAGTGAATTTGTAGTTTGAACCTTGTATTGCATGAATATCATGGCTGGGCTTTCCAGGAATACCATAACGAATTCCTCAGCGAAGATGCCTATAAGGTCTGGAACCATGCAGCGAATTTGCTGAAAAAGCAAGGAGCTGAAGTGGTCCAAGTTTCTTTGCCTCATACTAGATACTCTTTGGTTTGCTACCAGGTTCTTTCTGCCGCTGACATCGCTTCTAACATGTCTCGGTCAGCAAACTGAAACGCTTTTGCGTCGTTGTTTTGCTAATCCGTTTTCGTTCAGCTACGACAGTATTGAATACGGGCATCGCTCAGGAAATGAAAAATCTACTTTTGACTTGTATGCTTCCTCACGAAATGAGGCATTTAATGTTGTTGTCAAACGAAGAATTTTCGCTGGAAACTACTTTTTGATGCGAGAGTGAGCTGTTAAATCTTTCTATTCTGACGTCTACCATGGGGCTCGATTTCTAGCTAATACTTTGTAGCTTTAGCCATGTTCGTCATAGTTATGGGCTTTGTGCCTGTACAAATTTTTGATATGTTTCGTATAAATCCTGCAAGATATCATCATGCGTCTGTTACATTTGCGTTATGAAGTTTTCTTTATTTTTACAGCTCGTACTTATTTGAAATTCCACTAGATGTTTACTCGCGGTAAGCATTATTTCACATTTTGATCGGAATTAGTGGTAATTTTGAGAGAATTCATCTTTCATTTTCTAAATAAATGTCATGTAAAATAATGTGACCGTTTTCACTCTCACATCTATGTATTTCAGGAATCGCAGGGAATTTTTCGACAAAGCCCTGCGCTTACGCCGAAAAATTTCACGCGAGATGCATGAAGCTTTGTCTTCAGTCGATCTTTTATTGACACCAACTGCGAGTGGCCAAGCTCCATTATACTCAAAGCTGAAGGAAGGCTTTTATAAGAGAGAAGATCAAGATGATTTCTACACGCAACCAGCAAATCTTGCAGGTTTGTGTCTGTATCGAGTTCTTGTCAGTATATGTATCATCTAGGGGTTCCTGCCATTTCGGTACCTTTTGGCAGCAGTGGAAAACACCTTCCAATCGGGGTACAGCTGATTGGAGGCTTATTGAAGGATAGACTAGTATGCGATGCTGCTCAGATTTTGTATGACGCTGCTCACAGTTCTTAAGTGTCGATGTGAGCTGAAGTCCAAAACGAGGAGACCCGCGTAGGCTTTTTGGCATACTGAAATTCCCCTTATTTTTTTGCGCAGCCTGATCTTTGTATTTCAGACAAATGCCAGCTTTTATATGGGTATCCAGGAGGCATATCTTGAGATATGTCTTTGATTTGCTTTGCTTTTCACAGGGCAAACGCAGCACAGTCTTGCTGGCTGATGAACTGAGGATTATGAGTGTTGTAACAATGAGAAACCTCAGATTTTTTTCCTGACGTCAGTGGTGTTGTTAGCATGCCTTCGTATAAATACATGAGAGTGTTGAAGTCCATCTCTTGTTCGCTGTTCTAAACAGTTAAATTTCTCTTTGTATTTTTCATGAACTCTCTGCACCATCATTCCTCGCAATCTGCTAACGCTCTCTTGATGAACATTATCGAAAATCTATGAAACTTAAAGTTTCTAAAGTCATACTATCTTCTTCCATTATTCTCCACATCCGATTTTTATCATGGAAACGAACAATTTTCGAACAACTTTTAGCCAGGTTCCGCATATTTTTATTTGATAGTTTATTAGTGAGAGTTGAAAACAACAAGCGAATGTTTTCGTAGCACGGGCTCACACTTACCCTGCTCTAGCTGGCAATATTAATAAGCCTTCCTCTTCTTGGCTGTCATCTGTATGAAAGCTTTTTGTGTTTTCGCACTCATCTTTTTCTAAGAAAAGATCCAGAATCTAGTTTTATTTGCGTTTTGTTGGCTTGAGTCAACTTTTTAAAATCTTCCTCTCAGTCTCTCAGTACCAAAAAAAAAGTTCCATATTTTGCTATTGTTCTTTGTCAGATGTCTGGCTTGGAGCTGTATCGCTTCTAATGGCTCTTGTAATGCCAGAATGCATCTACAATGTCTTCTTAAATGACGCTTCTGAGCATTTTTCGCTCATGCTGTTTTTTTTTTCGCGGCCTATTATCGAGATAGTTTTCGCTGTTTGCCTGCCAAACAACCAACTAGCACGTTTTGCGTTATCTTTTCGGTCGTCTCTGCTGAGTTTGGTGTTCTCGAAGGCCATTTCTGCCTACTGCATGTGTGCTATGCCCGATGACATCGCTTTGTTGCCGCACACGCCATCGCTCTGCTGTTCAAATTAAGAGCTCGTTTCAAATCATGTGCAGATGCGATGACAAATGGGATATGACTTGATTTATACTTCTTCTTGTTAAACTCACTGATTATTATTGATTTTATCAACATCCGCTCCTATGATGTTATATTGCCTTCGCATCTACTCTCGTTAATACTCATTTCTATTCTGCATTTTGCGTATCTAAGCAATCTGTCTTCATCAACATGATCTGAAGATTCAACTATATTGCTATTCCTTTTATTTGCGGTTTTGTGTTATATTCTTCATCTGTCAGGTAGTTCTTTACCACTGTTATTGCTTTCCGCTCAAAGCAGCACAACTAATTTTGTTGCACTTTAAAATCGCACAATACCCCTTCCGTTTTGTCTCCGTAGATCTCGAGCGACGATCAGACGTAGTTTTCTCCGATTGAGTTTCTTTTTCACCTCGTTCTGCGCGTTGTATTCGAATAGTTTTTGTTCTACCATTGAGCGCTTCGGCTCCTATGAAGTCGCGTTGTTCTCATTTTGTCTCTCTTCACTCCAGTGATTCGACGACGGCCTTCTTCCACTGAAGGCTATGTTTCATCTGGTTTTCGTGTCATCCCACTCTACAGGCTATGTGTGACCGCACGCACTCATTTCTTAAACAGCCGAAAAATATCGTTACTGCTGTTTTATTAACATCATGATGTACCCAACATGTTATCGACATATCGACATATTTGGTACTGAAGTGAGAATCGCGATGAGAATAGAAGTTGGAGGGCACCTTCTGTTCTCATCGCGACTTGAATAAAATTTTCCACGTGAATTGCGATTAGGGAGCTGTTCTTATAAAGATTTTATCAGCCCCGTCACTTCGCACACTGCTTTTTTAATTTTTGAGTCGTTCTGTTTTCTTAGGAGGAAACGATGTTTCGTCGATGTGCTACCAGTACTTTTGCGTTAATTTGATCGTTGCCCCATTTTTATCTACGATTTGTACATGCAATACATCTTTGTTTTTTGTGTCCTTTCATATTTTACTCACCAATACATTGCAACATTTTGAGAAATTGCTATTTTTAGAATCATGTTTTGACATAGTTCTCAATTTTCTTATCAAACTCCTATCTCTTTTCTTTTTTGGTTGACGTAGGCAGCATCAAAAGGATGTCTGGGCTGTCTAATTCCTCTTCGTCTTTGTATCGTCATCCTTTCTTTTTATAATCAAGCGCCGCTTCCATTGTACGAACAGCGACAAAAGGGTTGATCTTTACTTGCTTTGCTAGAATTTAGATAACGTGCGAACCATACTGATTGTGAGAGAACTTCTCCCTGATTATGCCCTTTGAATATATTTAACTTTGCTGAATATGATGCGATGGCATGAAGGTATTTGATGTAATCGTGTCTTCGTTCACTTTACATTTTTTCCTTTTTCATGATCAAAGAACATACAGTCTTGGCAGTGCATAGAAGGTACTCACGGACTTTGCGCGTGCAAGATAGTGCGCCAACTATCAGTTACGCATAGTGCTGATTATTTCCCAGCTTCCCAGCTTGGCTAAAAACGAAAGCTGTCTTGTTACGCTGTTTGGAGCTTTTCATGAAAATTGCTTCGTTTTGACAGTCTGTTTCGGTTTAAACTAGCAGTCCACTTGTTTCGTTCAGTTGATCAGCGTGCGATCGCTAGCAAGTCATAAAGGCGATGGTGCCGCGAACTTGGTTGTAATAATGTAAGCACTTGGCTGGCCGAGCGCCCTCTATTTCCGACATGGCAATGGCATCTATTTCACCGCTCTCGTGCGTTTCCTGACACATTCTCTGTTTTTGAATGATCGATCTTCCTTCCCGATTTGTTCATTAGCGATTCCTTTCTCGGTTTGATCGCGTGCCGAACTCGAGAACGCGTAGCATTGCATCCTCCGGTCATATCCTCTTCTTTACAATTTCACCACCGCAGACTCATGGTGTCGTGATTGATTGCAAATCTGCCTTGCTGCCAAGTCTATCAAAGCTCTCCTCTTCACCTCTCCTTTGCCGCATTCGTACTGCCGAGAGAACTGTCTCGTTGATTAATTTCTCGGTCTTTTTTCTTGTTGTAATTAAACGTAAAGCGGTATTGATGTGAGATCGCATAGCTCATGGTCTAAAGGACTATCATTTGAATAGATGCATGTCACTAGTTTCCACCTCAAATTCATAATTCTGAGATCTGTGCATAGCTGACTATTGATGTTGTGTTCATTTTGTATCCTTACATCGACTGCTTTTTGTACTAATCCTGTTTTTTTTTTTTACTAAAGCTTTCGCTTCTAGATATATTTGATATGCAGCTGTAGGTGAAGAGGTTTTGTAAGACATGTCGACAGCATCTCCCAAACCTTTGGCTAACGTGAAATGCGAGCCTCAGCCATCCACTAGCACAGCCAGTGAGACTACTGTAACGGTAAATTCATGCGCCAGCTTTCAGCCAAATCCTCCAGAAAGATTCAGTTCCAGATGAGTTCTCCATGCCATCCTTCACCAGCTCTTGCACGATCAGTACCATCCTCCCAAGAAGCGACGTCTCCTTCAGAAACTGCTGGCAAAGACTTCGTCTTTTTTACGTGCGTCATATGTCATCATCGATGTATTGGGGTGCATACGTAGCCGATGAACGTTGAAAATCTTTACAGGACAGAGCTAGCCAACCAAGCCGCCCTGGATTTTGAGAAAGAACGCTTCGATAGTCTTCTGGAATGGCATATGAAGTATCGTAAACGCAAAGAGGCTGAGCGAGCTTCATCAGACGATACAGTGTCGGAGAAGGCTACAAGTTCGATATCCACAGATTCGCCAGTTACAGAAACGACAGAACGGAAGGCTGAAAAAAGGAAAGCGGAGGTGATTTTTTTTTGCTTTCCATTCACTTTCTTACTTGGTTTTCTTGCCAAGATTGGTGGATAAAGCGCGATTTTCTACGACAAAATGACTTTGCCGTCGAAGCGGTGCATCGCCTATGTTTGCATAAAAGCTAGCTAGCTTATCTTTGCAGGTCACTACAGATTGTGCATTCAAATTTTTCATTACAAAAGAAGCGCCGTACTTGCTAACACCTCTAGAAATAGTCTTATGACAGTACGTTCTGCACTTGGTTGCTCTGATAAAATCTAGGAATGCCGCTGATAAGCTCTTATTTGCTGGCTTTTACGCCTTTCAAGTCCCGCTCCACACACTTAGCCACACCTTTGCTACATGTACTAAGGGCATCGCGAGTTGTTAAAGTAAGAGGTATATTTATGTACGCAGTTTACGAAATCATTTAGTTGGTGGTTTCAAAGTAATGACTTCACATCTTTCTGATTTGAATCATTGTATTTTATCTGGCCCATTCTTATGAGAGATGTGTATCATGGTGCTTGCAACATCCATGCTTCGGATGATTATTACAATGTATTACGTGGAGTAACGTCTACTTAGTTTGATATCATGGATAACTAAAAGTATGATGGAACGAATTAATGTGATGGCTATACAGTCAGTTAATGTCATAGTTGCTGTTATCGTAGAAAGGATAGTTTAGGATTATAGGTTAAAGCAAAAAGAACTTTAAAAAATCCAGGCTGTCCTGATTTTGTACGCAGGCTCTGCAGAATTTGATTTCGTTAACTGATAGGGTTGAAGAATTCCCTGGTAAGAATATTTTTTAGAGCCGAATTTGGCATATCAGAATATCTTGGGGAGAGTTGAGAATCGCACGGTGCAGTCATTATGCAGGGTGGCCAAAAATATATATTGAAGGTTTGTTTAGAAATAACTCTTGTATGAAAGGCTTTCGGTGTCCTACAGTCTCCATATCGTAGAGCTGGTGCTAACTCAAGTTTACAATATGGAGCGAATCACCAATCGCACTCCATCACTGTAAACTCAGGGTGGGAACTTCTGGCATACAGCGCTACTATGAATATGTCGCCATCTAAAAAAATTTCTCAAAAAATCTGCTATGCTTGTATGCTAGAGCTTTTACACATGCGATTTTACAGCTCAGCATATTTACACATTTTCAACCTTTGTAACTGGCTTACTATCATTCTTGAGGAGTAGGGAAAACAGCTGCTATTGTAGACTTGGCATGATTTATTTGAAGCCTTATAATAATGCCCAAACTTTATAATGAGAATCTTCAACTCTGACTAGCCTTGTATAAGGGTTTTCGGGTCGTTTGCTTTTTGGGACGAATGGAGCCCTCTATAGCTCAAAGGCTCTTCAGAGTACCTACAATAATCTTATAGTAATGAAGAGCGATCAGTGAATTATTCTACAATGTAAATCTGATTCAAAACCAGCTCAACTGTGTGGTGTGTGTATGGTCGCAAAAGCTCCTCGTACAAGGGAGTTATTGAAGATTAGGCGTTCGATACATTCTTGGGACACTCTGTAGTTGGAATTTTTATACGTAAACGAGAAGACAAAAGGTGCTAATTTTCGATCTCCTATTTCAGCATGCGCAGAGCCGGAGATTTTTGAGTAGGAAGAACAAGAATGACTGCTCGTACTTAAGGTGTACAACTTCAAAACGTTCATATGGACTAATATATTTTTTCCGGCTTTGATATCTCGTGAAGGAACCGTGGTTTTTGGAAAATTTCGGCTGTAAAGCCTCGTTCTTCCGCACTTACTCAACAGAACAGAATGCAGCTACGCTGCAATATCTCCAAAATATTGAGAGGGGCTGCATTCAGGATGGGGCCTGCTTTTTCGAGGAAATTATGATCGAAGGAAGGTTTATTTATCCGAATGAGCGTTTTCTGAGGGAAGAGAATTGGAAAACTAGAGATAACAGGAAGAGCACCATGGTTGTATTATCTTCATGATTTTCAGAGTGATCTTGAGGAGTGCACCTTGAAGAAACCAACATACATGGATCTGTCTGCACCTTTGAATTCACCGTCGAAGAAACTTGAAGAAACTCCACTTAGGTCGGTCATGGTAGATTTCCCTTTAGAAAGATCAAGATAGTTTTCGCTTTAGACGCATGGAGATGATGACAAACTCATCAGCCTTTAGCACCTCTTCGAGCATCAATGATGTAGTTGAAGCGCCGGCGAACGGAATCTGCAAGAAGTAAGTTAGCATACTAAAACTGAGTACACAAGTGATTCTCCTTTCTTCAGAGATGAGCGATCGGCAAAATTGGAGAAACTTGGTGAAATGGAGCGACAAGTAGAAGCTGAAAGACTTCGGGTCGAATGGGAAAAGGAAGTCCAGGCACATGAGGTAGTTTTATGTTACTTTTACTTGCTATGAATGTACGGACCGGTGCCAAAATAATTATCCGCTCTCCAGTTTTTATTGAACTCTGCCAAAATCCTCTGGAAGTCTCTCTAGCTTGCCGGTTACAATGAGGGTGCTAAATTAGCACTATTTCTCGCTTGCAAATAGCCTTGCGCAAAACTAAAATTTATGTAGTCAACGTGCTGCAATGCTCCTACTTTTCGTAAAACTGATGACTACTTTGTGTTCTGACCTTTGTACGAAATACTTGACTTACTTCCCCTTAGACGATGTGCTGTTCAAAATGACTATCATTTTTTGTTTGTTTATCAAATAGCGCCGCGAGATTCTACCAGTTCCGCGTTTTTACCCAAAAATGCTATTGTGAAGGAATACCTTTTGTAGATGAAGAAACTCATGCAAACGCAGGGACTGTCACCATATTCTTCCCCAATGTATCCGCAACCTCCTGTTTCTGGTAAGTGCATTTGCCTCTTTCTGTACAAGTTAAATAGTTTGGATGTTTATTTTATTTCAATATGGACTAAAAGTTTTTTTCACTTTGTAAGAAGCTTGTTTTCGCACTGAAACAATTAGCTTGCTATGCATCGTACAATTTTTGTTAGGGCCTCCTGGTGTGATGTACCCAATGGCTCCTTATCCCGGTCGTTATCCTCCGTCTTCCAATGGTTATCTCATGGGAGTACCTGCTGGCGCATACCCTCCCGGGTACCCTGGTGCAACGCAGTTCCCTCCTGGTCAGTTATAGTGCTGGTTTCTCTGATTGATGACGAATGTTCTTGAAATTCAGGCTATCCTATGTCAGCTCCGGGAAAATCTCAAATCCCATCGCCTGCTTACATTAGTGATCCAATGCCTTACAAAGGTGGTGGTCCTCCGCCAGGAATGAGTCCTCATCATCCCATGTACATGCACATGATGGCCTCGCGAGGTATGTTACCTTTGACAAACCTATTTTTACCTTATTATATCACCTCATTGTCAGGGTTGTCCTCGCCGGTGTCAGGACCCGGCTTTCCAGGTGATCCCGGTCGACCTTACGGCATGCCAACACATTCTCCAGCTGTTAGCCCTTTTCACCCACTATCATATCCACCACAACCCTATCCTCAAATGCCATATGGACATCCTGCTATGGCAAAGGTAATCTTTCTTGATTTTCAATTTTCTTCGCACAGCTTCTGTATCTATCATCTGCTTGGGAATTAACATGAAACTCAGCGCAATATTGTAGGGTGTCGTTCCTCCCCCTCCTTACTCTTTTGCTGGTGCAGGTGTGCCAGGTGGCCCCGGAATGCCGCCTCCAGGTAAAGTTTTGATTTGTCTCTTTATTCACTTTCCATGAGTTGTTAAACATAAAAGCTTACTTTTGTAGGCATGATGAGAAATGGCCCAGGAGATCCGATGAGGTGGCAGCCAGGTATGACGCCGAACTATCCGCCCTCATTTCCGAACTCCGCTCCACCGGGATCTGCTCCCTCAATGCCATGCCAGCACATGACGTCTCCGAAGCAAGGCTTAGCCGCATGAGCTATTGTGGTGCATAGAGTATGCGGAAAAAAGATTCTGTTATGCGCCAGAATGGCAGGCTTCTAGTCGAGCCCGATCGACTTCTTTAGTCACCGGTTTCATACGAGCTCATCTGATCTCTCTGGGATTTCGATACGTATTAATTAGGAACTTGCGTCTTCAACTTGCATCAGTTTATGCGTAACTTTTCAATTTCGATAACTCTCATAACTCAAGGATCTTTCTACTTATTCTGCTAGTTAGCCATCTTACTTTTCTATAAATTCTCCAATTTATATTGCTCAATAGTACTTATGATTGTCTGCTTTGTCTATGATTGTGTTTAGGCATGGAAGAATTCGCATGGTGTATAATTGGCTAATAAAAATTTTTGAAGCTATCAGTATCACAAAAACGAAGAAAAACTACCTTTGCGCATACCGATTTTTTGAAATTTCTCCGTGATTTCCGATAGTTGAGACGGTGGATTGAGTGTGTCCGTACCCTAGTTTCACGAGTACCAGACACATCTTTCTCATTTTTTTAAGCAGCTCAGCCGCACCACTGGGCTCATAATTGGTCTCCCCCACATTAATTTTAGGTAAGGAGCAGCACACAGTAGAGGATCTTGGTCTTTTCTGGTTTCTTTCTGGTTTGGTTTGGCTTGTCGAAGAAAAAACGGGTGCGTCTTGTACTCGTGAAATTGGGGTAATTGTTTTTCTTATGAATATGGATCACTCGTACAGTGCTGGCCATAGCTATAAAGCCACCCTAAAAATCACTGTAATTTGCTCTCTCTTACTCAAAATTGTCTAAAAAACCACTATTCTGTGTGCAGACTAACGTCATATCATTGGCCAGAACGGCTCCCGATTTCATTGATTTTGGCCGGAGGAAAATTGAAATCTTGAAAAAAGGGGTTCCCAAGGCTGGTCACAGCTATAAAGCCACCTCTCATTTCCAATCAGTACTAACTACTAACTACTAACTACATTTCTTGAGGCTGAGATTTTTTGTACATATACAATATTAAAATATAAAACATTCACCACACTTGGAAGCAGTTGCCTTTTCAAAAGGTTCATCCTGCATTTTCTGCTTAGAAATTATAAAAAGTTATAATGTTTGGAAAAACTGCCTTTTCACCGAATTTCAAAGCATTTGTTTGACGGGGGGGGGGACTTTTCATACGATCAGGGAATTCGCACCTAGCCTTCGCACCTACCTCACACCTATATCGCACCTCTCCATCCACGTAATGAGTAAGATTCTCCACTACGCCTAGGTGAGGGGGGGGGGGGGAGGGGGACTTTTCATACGAACGCTCCCCGATCACTTTGACCTTCTAGCGGTATGCTAGGGTGCTGGTAATACGACCAGTTATCGATTACAATGGATTAGAATGAAACGTTTATTATCAAAAATGCGTAAAGTAAAGAATATCTTGATTTTATAAAGCTTACTTCAAACGTTACTTTAAACATCTAGTAAGCCAATAAACTTTGTCACTTTTTAAATTCTCCCATAGCATGAAACTGGAGTTTTAAGTTGATGACACCCAGGAAAATCGCGCCCCTTGACCGTCTCCCTCTCCAATCCCCTATGGGAAGAGTAGCAAGCACTTCCAGGTCATCTGAAGGCTCGGAGAGGCATGTGACAATACTCAAATCAGTTCAAAACGTTTGTAAAAGAAATCCGAATTATCCGACTTGAATATTAAAAAATTCGTTTGGAACGATCATGATGTTATTTTTCACAGCAAAACACTTTTTGAATTCACACAGCATTCAAGTTTTCATTTTATCCAAATTTGCAGTACTGCAAAAGCTAGTCTAGATGTTTTGTTTTTTGAAATGGAGCTCGCAGGCCCAAACCTGGCATGGTGCCAGTTTTTACTGGATCTTTGCCAAAAGATGATATGGGGCATTCGTATGAAAAGTCCCCCTCCCCCCCCCCCCCCCCTCTCCCTTCTACAGTATACTGGACAGGAAGGTGCGAGACTTCACACTTAGCCGTAGGTGTTCACACCTCGCACCTTGGAATTGCTCATCGTATGAAAAGTCACTCACCCTTGTTTGACTCGAATGAAGGTCCTAGGCTTCGCCGAGCCTGTGCAATGAATATGGTGAAAAGCGCAGGAGTTAACATGGCGTAGTCGCTGATATTGGTAAACGAGCCCCAACCTCACCTCCAGGCAGACGAGTTTTCGAACCGCAGAAATTGAGTTCTAATGCCCGAAAAGCTCTGTTACGTGCTCAGCACGTTGCCTGTACAACGATAGACTCGTGCACATAGCTTGAACGTCATCGCAACTCTCAGGATTTTGGTTCCGTCTTAAACGCCTTTTTTTCAAAAGTGAGTGGTGCACTCTGCATGATCGTGACACACTCTGACCTCTCGATCAAGCGACAAACCGCTCAAAACTTCAAAATTCTCCGACAGTTTTGTAAGATTTGACTTGAAGAGGAGTTTAAAGCAGCAAAATTTGAAGTCATATGAGATAACTGCGCACAACCGATGCAGGCAAGGCGTTCTAAGTTCAGTGCTGCAAATAGTCTTTGCAAAAAGCCTGACAGCTTCTGCATAAGTACTTCACCATGCAAACAAGGTGTCAACTTCCAACCGAAAATTTTCGCGCGTCAGAAATCGAGATTTGCGTTTCAGAAGTGCGTTTACACCTAGGTAAGATTGAGCTTCTTCATCAATACCAGCGACTACGCCATGTTGACTCCTGCGCTTTTCACCATACTCATTGCAAAGGCTCGGCGAAGCCTAGAACCTTCATGCGAGTCAAACAAATGTTTGAGAATTCGGTGAAAAGGCAGTTTTTCCAAACATTATAACTTTTTATGCATTTTGAAGCAAAAAATGCGGGATAGATCAACTTTTTAAAAAAGCGACTGCTTGCAAGTTTAATAAATGTCTCATATTTTGATGTTGTATATGTATAAAAAACTTCAGATTCAAAAAACGTAGTACTGACTAAAAATGAGAGGTGGCTTTATAGCTGTGACCAGCCTTGAGAACCCGTTTTTTCAATTTCAATTTTTCTCCGGCCAAAATCAATGAAATTGGGAGCCGTTCTGGTCAATGATTGACGTTAGTTTGCACACAGAATAGTGGTTTTTCAGACAATTTCGAACAAGAGAGAGCAAATTGCAGTGATTTTTAATGTGGCTTTATACATAGCTATGGCCAGCACTGTATATTTGTGATCCCAGGTAGCAAAGCTGATCTATTCTTTTCTGTGTCATTTAGTACTTTCAGACACTTCAACAGATTGGAAGCGACTCAGTTGTTGGATGAAGTTGCGTTTTTTCAAGAATAATTGGATGGTCAACGAGTTTAGTGGGAAGGTGTGAGGAAGGACCGATGCGGTGTAGGAGAAATCAAAGGTCTTCGCAGGAGAGTCAAGAGCATGCTTACTTTGGGGGAGATTGTGCAAGGATTCAGCAAAGCTTGACAGAATATCGAGAGGGGGACAATTTATTGAAATTTTTGAGAAAAAAGCCTAAGGGACGCAGAAAACAGGAATGAAGTTAGTGACAGGCGCATTTTATTGATGCACACCTAGTGGATGATTTAACAACACTCTCTTCAGCAAGGATCATAAAAGGAACAAAAGCAAAAATCCTCTTTAATGAAAATGTAAGAGATTCCAGGACTTGAAATCATTGATGCGCAAGAATTTGCAAGTTCCAGGAAAATTTCTCAGTTCCTGATAATGTCTCGAAATGTCCCTAGATGGAGATCTCGAGAATTAATACTTCAAATTTCCCTATTGCGAGTAAACCGTGATGAAAATTTCCGTAATCGCTCTATTATTGTAATGAGAATGGTAGACCTTAGTCAGTGGCGAATTGAGTAGGGCGTGGCGATCTCCTCTCACTCCTGAGGGTAGGTTGCATAGTTTGCCTATATGGTCTTGAAATTCGCAAGTGACATGTTATCACCTGTTTCAACAATTGAGACAAATTCGAGTTAGCTTTGTAAAAAAAATTCGCAGAAGTAGCTGGTAGGTCCCCTTTTTCTAAAATGAAAATTAAAGTTCCAGTACAACCACGGCTGTTTTGCATCGGGTACTTGATCTCTCCTCCCAAAACACTGATAAATTGTCAGTGCAAGTACATCACAAACAAATAATGCGTGCAAACCAGATAATGCCATATTCATTCGATGAGGCAAGATGATATTTTCCGTTTCATGACATCAACAGCGTACATCCCAACTTCTTTTGGTATAGAAAACCTGGAAATCCGGTAATGTTTTCTATCTATTTTATTGTGTACTCTGCAAAACGCCAATATGTAAGTGAAGTAATATTATGTTCAATGTCAAAAAACTTGAAAATTATGATGGACTCTCCTATGGCTTTGGACTTTTATGAGTGCATCTGCTCCTATGCTATATTTTTTCTTCCAGAGTTCATCTGAATTGTACTTTAGGTCAATGATATAATCACCTTTCTTTGGGCCAGGGGGCGGCGGCCCAGGAGTTCCCAAAGCCTTGCCGCCTTTCCTCATAGGGGTAGTTATCACTTCCAGGGCGCCTTCGCACCTCTTAGACGGCTCCGCCCATTTGCTCCGCCCATTGGCCAGCCTCATTACGGTGCAGGCTTGGAGAATAGTTCCCATGCGTTCCGGTGGATGGATTAATAAAGACAGATGGAAAGCGACAGAAGAGGAATTATAAAGTCTAAACACTCGGCACATTGCCTGTTTACAATACAGAAAAGGGGGAATTTGTATTGAACCGATTTTTTAACACGTTGACGACGAGCCATTTTTTGAAGGTCTGTCCCTGTGGACGAACCGTTTCCGGGCACACAGCACAGCAGGCTGCACATGTATATGCATGCATCTATGCGTGAGATACACAAATGCAAGTGGGCGGGCAGCTCCGCCCACTTTTGGCAAGCCCCTCCCACTTCTCAAAAATGCTGGAAATTGCTCAAAATCAACGAATTCGCGCAAATTCCGGCATTTTTGAAAAGTGGGCGGAGCTTGACACTGAGGGGGTGGAGCCTGCATTTCGGGGAGCGGGGTCAAAATTAAGATTATTTGAGGTTCCCTTATCATCTATGAGCTTTTCTATGTGATTTGAGAATGAAGGAAGTTTTTTGTAGAGGGCAATGGAGTGGGCGGAGTTTGCCAAAAAGGGGGCGGGGCCAATATGAAATACTTTCGAGCCTAACTTAATTATATGAACACAAATTGGGACCATTGTGCACATTAAAACTGATGTTTAGGGTGTCGCGCACCATTGCGCGACATCGTCCACAGGGACAGCCTGCCTGTCGCGCACCATTGCGCGACACCGTCGTCAACGTGTTAATCATGCGCGGACAAATGACAAGTGTTTTTTCTAGAGTGATATCGATAACGGTGTATATAAAACAGCGCTTATGCTAGCGTTCCTCATTCTTACGGCGACCACAAGAAGGACTGCAGAGCAAGTGGACGAAGCTGATAAGAAGCCGGAGCGGGTTTGGATGGCAGAAATGGACAGCACTACGATGGATGGAAGGCAAAATAGTCTGAACGGCAGAAGCCAATGGGACGATGTTGGAGGATGCAGGAAATGCTGGATGACAGAGAAGCAGGAAGAGGAGCATGGAGGGAGACGGAGACTTGGCAGGACACTTCGACGTTCATTGAGATCTCGTTGAAGTCATGCTGCTATTTTGTATAAAAGTTTTTTCTTGGGGGGGGGGTGTAGTTAGTAGTACGTGTTAGTAAAGGATGGTCTCAACATATGCTGAAGTCTCAGTTATTCTTCTGGTAAAGGAAGAATTTTTCAGGTTTTCCTATGAAGTTGTAGCAACAAGATCAAATTCCACTGAAATGTTCTATAGTTCTCACTGTTCTATAGTCCTCGGTCAAACTTAGTGTTCATTATCTAACACAGTCAACACTTTAGACAGCCTCTGCAATAAACTTGAAAGTTGAGGCCACTTTTTCACAAATGTATTGCATCAGGATTCACTTTTTTGTTACCTATCATGCTCGCCTATTTGCGCAGCACGCACGGCTTCGAATGAGACTAGCAAAGGGGAGGAGCGATGGGCGGGGTTTGACCTCTGTTGCGCGAAGGTGCGAGGAGCCTTCTGGAGTGCGAATGGAGGTGCGAGTAGAGGTGCTAGGAACTCCTGCGTCCCCTCCGGGCCAGGGTAAATCATAGTGGAATACTTTTGAGTTTTGAACTTTGAACTCTCTATAGTTTAGGTCCTTGTGAGGCAATATATTCTTCTTCCAGCCAAACACAGCTGCTTACGTCATCAATCTATCACACCACCGAATTTTGCTGAACTATTGCTTCGCTTCGGAGCTGCAAGTGTTCGGATGGCATTTCAAGAGGAAGTGTTGTTTACACCACATGAACTCCCATTTTATTGAAAGGCGAAAACAATCTTGTTTTAGCGAGAAAACAATCTTGTTTTAGTGAAAAACGAAGAATCTTTGTTCCAGTGGTGACCACCTACGTGAAGTAGACTGCATCGCTTTTCAATATCAGTAGCTTAGGGCGCCTTTTGACAATTACATGCCACTGAAAGCTTAAAATCAGATAGCAAACACTATGATGCTCGAAAAAAGAGAACGCAAAAGACAGCGCTCAATCAACTTTGATAATTTAAATCTAATTGCGCGAAATATCAAAGAAGTTAGTGCTGGGAAATCTCCAAGGATTGTCAATGTAAAAATCACTCGAGGCTAATGTAAGCAATGCCCATGTCTTGAAGTATGAAACGCTGATTCCAAATCTACCATCCTTATGTGTTGCGGGTTTCTAGGAGATAAGTTGCGAAGGTTTTTATGGGCAAAAATTTACATGTGCAGCTAAACATAAGGAAAAATCAGTCCTAACATTTTTTCTCCGGCACTCTATGCAATGAATATTCTTGAGGCAAACATATCCATTTGACCCTGCCACTTCGGAACGCTAGGAAAGGTCAACGACTGATCTTACACTGATCATACATTGAGTTTTTCGCCCATAAGAACCTTCAAAACTCCTTGCTCGGAAAGCAGCGCAGTTTCCAAGGGTTTTTACATTAGGTCGCTTGTCGTTCTTTGCTTGCCACTGGAATAATTTTGTGCTGGCTGCCGCTGTATAAACGTTATCGATACAGAAAGAGTTTGCGGAGTTATGTGCTATTTGTTCCTTGCTTTCAGAAGGCTAGCAAATGGGACTTTGTAGAAATGCAAGCAATGATGCCACAGTATCTACCTAAGATTTTTGCAAGATTTGTGGGAGGCAAGGAATAAAATTGTTGTCAAATTCAATGGAGCGTTCGCTAGAGGACATGCCTTTAATTTATTTACAAACTGGATTCGCTAAATTTGCTTGGCAGCAATGTTTTATAATTCAAATATTATTCGCTGTATTTCGCAGCATCATTGTCGAAAGCAAAAAATGATTTCGTAGAAGCACAAGTGATGCTGAACTTTTATTTAAAGAGTAACTGTAACGACGGCGTGGAGATTCGAGATGCTGGGCATGGCACTTGGAGTGTACATAGGAAGAGCTGCCTACTTCCTTCGAATGCGAGTTATTGTTGTGACACAGAAATGGAACAAACACTGGCGAGTTGTGACTTATTTGCAACAAACTAATATCAGCTTCTGCATGTGAATATGTACAAAAAGAATCAGTTTTGACTAGATCTCAGACTTTCCTAGCGCGCCGTCGGACATTCTTCGAGGATGGTTGGGTAGCCCTTGACGGCTCGGACTCTTCCTCCAGGAGGTTTGTCTCTTCGGTTAGTTCCTGCTGCTCATCTTCGTGCTCATCGCTTTCCTCCTTTCGCTTCTTCTTTTGCGCTTTCTTCTTCCCTTTTCCATTACTCTCCTCCTCCGAGTCGTCGCTGTGCTTTTTCGTGTGTTTCTTCTTCTTTCTAGTCTGCTCCTCTTCTTCTTCCTCAGATTCTTCTTCATCCGATCCAGAAATCAACTCTTCCGTGCTGGTGTCGTCTTCACTTCCTGAGCGTCGTTTCTTTCGCAACCCCTTTTCTTCTTCGTAAGCATCTGACAGCACCTAAACGAGCCACATGGAATTTAAATGTATTGTTGCAATGAGAAATTGAGAAAAGAACCTTGAAATCTCTTAGTGCTTTCTCCAAATCATTAATATATTGATCGTTCTTAGCGTTTAGGTTTGGCTTTGGCTCAGAGTTTTCCTTATTTTCGCCTGTTTTAGTCGCCGTGTCCTGAAGATAACCATTTTTTTTTTCAAAACTACCAAACGCTCTTACGTGAGCTCACAAGGAAGACCTACCACAGCTTATTTCATAGTTGTAAGAGGACAAATCAATTGACTTTCATATCAAAACTACAAAACGCGTTGCTTGGAAAAGATTTCAATTTGGCTGGTATCTTGGCCAAGCACAGATATTACTATAATCAATCGCTACAGGTTAGAGAAACTATTATTCTTCACTCTTTGCGCAGGGAAATTCATATCTTTACTAATTCGAAATTAACAATACCATTATTTAATAGTGGAGCCTCTCATAGTCAGCCAGTAATCTGTAAACAGGTATCTTTAGCCTTGCTTACTTCTCATTATCCAAACCTATCTCTGCTCTACATATGTATAGTGCATTTGAAAAATCGTGACGATGGCGCAACCGCGCGCGCGACACGCACGCCACTTCCGGAAATCGCATTTTCTTGGTTTTCATCTCTAGTCGAATGGTTTTTTTTGCTTACGTATGATAATATTGACACTGGAAGGTGACTGAGCTGAACATTGAGGTGCCTTCTTGTATGAGCGTTTTATGCTTCTGTGGTAGCAAAGTCCGCAGTGAAATCCGTCGTCACGATTTTAGAAATGAACTATACATCAAACAGAGATTACTCGTTCAAACAATTTCGACTTCATGCCGCATAGAGTTATCAGCCTCTCAATTACTTCTTTTCTTCTCAAGCTGCTCGTGACTAGCTTCGAAAGAGATTTTTAAGATAGATCTTCAGTAGATTGAAATGGTATCAATGGTGGTTTCGGCCAAATGCCCTGCTCTTTAGTCAGAATCCTGCCTCAGTTCTTATCAGCTCATAAATGCTTATGAGTGATACTATGTTGTTGATTGCCTATGATTCTTTCTTCATTCACCGATACGTAAATTATATCATGGCCCTGTGAAATAAAAAAAGAATTGCATCGAAATGGCTTCGTATGGGATCAAAGATTGGACAAGAGTAGTTTTTCAAAACTCCCGCGATCTCAAAAGCACCTAATTTTGTATTATTAAGTTTACATCAATAGTAAAATAGTTCGTATCACAAACTAAGTTCAGTGAATTCTAATTCTGATTAGTTAGTCAGCCCTCTGCCCCTAGTTGACACTAACCTGTTCCCCTTCGACCAATGCTCCTGCCGCCTGAACGGCTTCCAGTTGTTCCAATATTTTGTTCATGGCTTCTTCTGTTTGTTGCAGACGTTCTTGCAATCCGCGCAATTTCCGCTTCCCTGAAGCATATTTTTGCATAGGTGTAGGATGGCAGAAACGCTTTTGACGAATATCATCTTACAAGGGAAGGATACCAACATTAGTCGGCAATTGAAGATGAGATGTATATTAGTAGACGCGCCTTTGAACGCTGATTCCAAATCTGCTTTCCTTTTTTGCGGAATAAGTTTCCGAAAGAAGTTGTGGGCGTTCAAATGTCCAGATTTGTCAAGGTTTAGGTGGCCTAAAACTGGCGAAAAGCTGTACAAAACACCGGAAAGTGGAAATTCATTTTTATATCGAGTATATTGTTTGCAAGGAAGGAACAAAGCCGGTGGAAATTGCACAGGTGTTGTTCTAGAGCTTTTCGCTGATTTTAAACCGCTAAATGCTAGGCAAATCTGAACATTCAAACGCTCATAACTTCTCTCGGAAACTTACTCCGCAAAAAAGGAAAGCAGATTTAGAATCAGCGTTTAAAGGCGCATCTAATGATATACATCTTATCTTCAGTTGTCAACTAATGTTGGTATCCTTCCCTTGTTAGAATGCTCCAGTCTCATAGAATTTGTGAACAAAACTCAACAACTCAAGACAACTTCCAAAAGACTAAGAACTGACCGATTTTCTTTTTTAGCCTGTCATTGTATTCATCCCCATCATCAGATGAATATTCGGAATCGTCATAGCGAGAACGTCGCTTTTTCTTGCTCTTTGTCTTGAAGTTAGATCGCATTTAATTTGCTGATACAAAGATTATCTGTCTCTTACCTTAAACAACGTATACAAAAGGAATATGACTACTCCGACAGTGTATAATGGTAACATCCACGTGAACATCCCTCGTCCGCCAGATTGGGTTTCAGCCTAGATGTGATTACATTCGTTACATTAATTACATTCGAAATGATATTAGGTCCAATCAATAGTATTTTAAATTTTTCCTCCATTACAAAAAAAACTTAGCGATTCCAAACTGGGGGTAAAAAATGTGGGGAGGGATAAGATTATCTGTCTGCTTGTCCTCATCTCGATGGGCACGACATGCAGCAAAACGACAGCTTTGCTAGGGCACCTACTCGTTTTCGGTTTCTTCCTTGTTTCACGACATCAAGGGAATACGATATTTTGTTGGCAGTAGAGTTCAGTTGAGTTTCGAAAGTTCAAGAAGATTTTGTTTCCATTTGTGGCAGGTATATATAGAAGGAATAAAATCCTTCAATTCACTTGTTGTCACGATATCTATTTGAAAAAAACTTCAATTCAAATCTTAACCCCTTGGCTATCCACCTGTTGCTGGGCCATTCTCATAGCTGGATGGATGTCACCTCTTCCTCCACCAGGTCTTGCATGCATGGCTGGTCCTCCCATTCCTGGATGCACTGGAGGTCGAGATGGTGTTGGCCGCGGAGGTTCTTTGCGTCCTGAAGTTTGTGGTATAGAAAGAGAGCATGAATTAGGTACTTGTTGTTTGTATTGGCGAAAAAAAGAGTTTTCTGGTTTATGGGTCAGAAAAAAAACTTGAAGTTGCAGATTGCAGAATCATATCGCAATCATCGTATTTCTGCAAATTCTATAGCCATAATCGCCACAATCATTTTCTCAGTTTCATAATTATGTGAATAAGAATTTTAAATGAGCAACACAAGCGCTCGACTTTGGAACGCAGAATTTTCGAAAGTTATATGAATATTAATTTTTGTTCTTTAAAGAAGAATTTATAAAATCGTTAGAATAACCTGCCCTGTGCCGAAAAAATGATGTCTTCCCGGATTCAATAAGTTCTTTCTGTCTACATCTTTTAGACAAGCAGAATAACCGAAGAAGCTATATCTCGAAGGAAATGGCCGGAAACTTACACGTTTGGCTCCATTTTGTTTCACTCGCTTTTCACTCAAATATTATCGGAAGCAAACGCCTAAAGCTACAAACTGCCATCGTTTCTTCTAATAGTCTTGAATTCTCCTTTCTTTACTTTTGGTCAAAGCAAGCGCACATCAAATCTATATAATGACAAGCATTCTCTCCTGTTCTACTTCACTCCCTCCATGCGTGTTGCTCCTGCGAATAGGCCAAAATCAAATGTGACAAGAAGGAATGGCAATTTTCTGGTAGCAAAGATATAAATGTATGTGTACACATTTGGTATTGAGAAGAACTAATACTGAGATTACATAGGCTCTCTCTCTAACCAAATCTGAGAACTCGGCAAACCTGTATTGGCGCATAGAGCAAAAAGTCACACCAAACATCCCCTTTCGCTAGCACATGATTACATAAGTCGGATACGGTGATCTTGAAAGCAGTGCCCACCCAAATTCACCTTTCATGAACTACTTTGTCAATACGATCACCTTTCATGTTTTTCAAGTGTTCCTGTGTTGTTTGTGTCACACCTTTCATGTGTTCCTTGTTTATCTGTGGGGCCTTTCCGTGCCCCTAAAATCGGATTTGGTTCGAATTACTTGAAAAGATCGAAAACTGCTCTTTCTAGAACACTATTTCAGCGAGTGTTCCGGCGTCACTCCGGCTGTATGCAATAGGAAATCTCGTCGCAGGCAATAGGGACACAATTACAAAGTATGCGTCTCGGCTGTGCTTTTCATGTCAGAACGCGTCAGGGAGCATTAATGGGCGGGACGGAAAGCAAGAGGCGTGGCGGAAGTAAAATATCCTGGATTTCAACTCATTTTCCCTTCTGAGGCCTAAAGGGCCGGGCATACTTCATGCGATTTCAGTCGCGACGCGATTTGGCAATATTCCAGTTGTCCACAACTCACTGTAAGGGGTTTCTGAATGTACGGAAGATAGGGTTTTCTATCAATCCACGTCAGGGCTCAGCACAGCTGGCACCGGGTCAAGCTGGATATCGTTTCTAGGGCAGAAAGCAAAGGGGATATCGTTTCTACAGGGTCCGAGGCGGAGAAGTGCCTCAAAAATGCCGCCGGCATGCCACCGGCATGCCATTGGCAAGCTGTCCATCAACAAACAAAGGCGTTGTTTTCAGCCAAAACGCAATAGTATGACACCAAATTTGGTGTGTGCATGCGCGTTGGTAGACCCGAACTATGGCCTAAAAATTTATGAAAACTTATGTGATTGGAAGCTGTGCCGAACTTTTTTCTGAATTAGCTGGCACCGTGCCAGCTGGGTGCCAGCTGAGCTGGCACCGACACTTTGCTCACACAAGTTTTCATACTCTTTTACATAAAATGTATCTACACTGTAAAAGATACATACGGAGAAGAAACTGTTTCATAATGTTTTCTTTTCAGCGTTTCATAGCAATTTGAAAACTACTCGGTCCGCTCCGCCGTCGAAAAATCGGCTTTTTCTGCTTCTCAAGATGTGATTCGACCACTCAAAAAGCTCAGAAAGCTGTGAAAAGTTGTTCCATGAAATCAGAAATGCATGAAAACACTACTACATACTCTTACATAATATAGAAATAATGACGGGTTTTCAAAACAGGTCATAGGGGACTTCGTACGCAATTTTCAACATCAAATAGGACTTCGTTTTGAAATCACCCTGGTGCCAGCTCGTGCTGAGCCCTGATCCACGTCAGTTATACACACTATGCAAGTGCAGTTAGCTAGGGTTGAATCTGAAGACTTCTGGCCAATTGCCAAAGCGCCGCGACTGAAATCGCGTGAAGTATGCCCGGGCCTTAAGGCATACCTCGTGCGATTTCTTTAAATCGCTACATCTACGCGACTTGGCGGTTTGCTAGATGTTTACAAACGAACCGTGCGCGCGTCTAAAAAACATAGACGCATAGCTTCCGTACAGCGTCCGGCAGTACGGTCTGGGTTTGACTACGAGTGAAGGGTACTAGTTTACGATGGACAATGGCTCAAACAGATTCGCTAGCCTTCTATAATACATAAAAGACCTAGATGGTGCATAGATTTGTATGGATACAGAAATTACAAGGCTGATTGTCACAGCTCATTATCTTGAAATAAGAGCCAGGCAAAAATCATTTCTCAACTGCTTGAATAGCAGGTATCAGTTGCCATGAAAGTTTTGTGGCACTTTTTATAGAGAGAATTTCATCTTCTTTCTAAACCGGTCTGGACAATTTTGATTTTTTTTAAAGGAAACCATGCGCTTCGTGATAGTGTGGCACTAGTATTATATTATCGCAGAAGTCGAAGTCGAAAGCAATAATTAATCGAGTTATAATTTGATAGAGCAGCAATAATCCATTTATTGGAATAATAAACCATTTCTGGTGAAAATTGGATAACATTTGAAAAAAAAAATAAAAAGCTTATAGATACTCTCTACTTTCTGCTTGCAACCATGTGATGTGCATGATCCTTCTATATAAAGCTGAATGTCTGTTTGTCTGTCTGTATGTCTGTATGTGTGTACGTATGTTCCGTGTAGAAAATTCCATTTCTGAACCGATCCGGACCAAACTTGGCACACATACACTTCGGGCCCCGGCGGGTGTCATAGGCTATTTTTCTTCATCGATCGATATCGATTTTATCGATTTTTATCGACTTTTTTGCAGAGTTCACCTAAGGGGCTGAGAGTTGGCACAGGGGGGTAAGTGAGCATGGGGATTCCGAATACAGTATTAGTCTCCAGAATTATCGATTACTTTTATCGATTTTATCGATTTTTTGCAAAGTTTGAGCTACGGGGCTGGGAGTTGGCACGGGGGGTAATCGAGCATGGGGATTCCGAATACAATATTAGTCTCCAGAATTATCGATTACTTTTATCGATTTTATCTATTTTTTGCAAAGTTTGGGCTACAGGGCTGGGAGTTGGCACCGGGGGTAAGTGGGCATGGCGATTCCGAAAACAACACAGGGAGTGGGAAATGAGGTGTAGAAGTGGGCACTGGGAAAGGCTTTACAGGGATAGGGATGGGAACTTTATTACAGTGTTTTGATAGGGCCGAGCGGAGCCGGGTAAGCAAGCTAGTAACTGACATTAATAACTTACCCATGAATCCCATCAACATCGGGTGAATTACTGTTGGATAAAGCATAGCAAAACATACAACGATCACCCCGACGACCAAACCAAGCTTCCATCCTGAAACAGAACTTTTCCAGAAGTAAGGAAGATTTGCGGAGGCAACACCTGTGAAGCCATTATCATCATCTTCTTCGTCAGAATAACGTCGCCTTCGTTTTCGTTCCCGCTCTCGCCCGCGGTCTGGCATTTCTAATAAAAAAAAGCTTATGACAGCCATCAACGAGAAAACGCAGACGAAAAATTAGCTCATATTATTCATATAATAGGATTGGCCGTCAGAAAGTGAGATCTTTGGATCGTCACGCAAAGACTCAACTGCGATGTCGGACACGTTTCAGATAATGACGATGGCTTATAGGTGAGGACGAGCATAAGCACCCAAAGAATGAAATGGCATTTTGAATCATTTGGAGTGCCGGTGATGATCAAATTAACCTAATTAAAGACTTTAATCTGTTGTTACACCAGATATGATCTGAAATTTTGCAACATCAAAAAATCCTCAATTGCGAAATGCGGATTTTCCTTTGTTTGTTAAATAGTCAAAACTATGTCTATATCAAGCATATCCCATTAGATAGCGAACAGCACATGCAAGGGACTTCACCTTCAGAAGAAATGGGTTTCGAAGGATAGGTATAATTGTATGTAATATTGCTTCGATGTTAGCTTATTCTCAGAAGCTAATGTGGGGTAAAGGAGTTGTGTTGCTATCTTTCTGAATATCAGATGTTAAATCAAAGTTGTAGCCTTTCTAGCTCTCGTAGTCATTAAGCTGAAGAAGTTAAATTCTTCGGAAAATGTTCTAGAAATTTACTAGCACCGCGAACTACTGTTTTGAAGTCATTTGAAACAAGGCCGTCACCAAAAACTGATTTTGTGATGATTGCAATGCCAGTTGAAGAAATTCTTCTCTAAATATTTTACATGCAAAGCGACAAAATTGATTGAGTTTGCGATTTTGTCCTTAGAGGCGCTAACAGAATGGCAAAAGATCTTGCGCAGCAACTTCCCATTCATCACAGTTGTTTACTTCCACTAACCTAAGTTATGAACGGATTTTGTATTATGTATGCAAATTGGCATTGTGCAATTTACTTTGTATTTGTGCTTGCTCAGAATGAAATTTGAGTTCACGCTGAGTGCAGTATGTTGTCCATTCAGCCGAAAGAAGACGAGATCTCTTACAGGCTAGCACAGTTTGGAAATATTGGAAGCAAGCGAAGAAGGAAGCGATTGAAGCCGCAGGAGCTTTGGAAAGCTCCTAAAATAATAAAATTACAGCAGGCAATCGTCCATCCGCCGAACGTCTTCGTTCTTAGCTGGGTAAGAAAAAATTTAAGCGCATCCATGGATTGGACTATGTCAGATGAAATAGCGATAAAAGCAAGAAAGCAAGGCATTTACCCGTAAGAAAATGTACGGCACAGCGCTACAGAAATTCTATGCTGTAGAAACAGAAAATATTCCCCTGCTTCTCTTTCAAAAAAAAAAGCTGAAAATTGCTAGGGAATGGCTATGAAAGCTTTTGAAGCTATCAGGAACAATGTCGTTTGATTTCACATCAAACTGAACGAGGTTTGATTATCGTGGTAAATTTCGTATCAAAAGACAATAAGGACATTTGTGTACTAGCAATACAGAAGTGCTCATTGTCAACATCGAGATTAACAAAAGTGATGATGATGAAGTTGTTTCTGAAGGCAAATCACCACAGGAGGTGAAAGGAAAGTGTGCTCAACACAATTTGTTGATGATAAAAGCAAAGTCTATAAGAGAATAGAAATGATAATGATAAAAATGGTTATGCGACCTGTTTTAAACAAATGCTGCGCAATATCTAGGTTCTTAAAAACTTGTCCCACAACTTTTGCTTTTGCATGCATCGATGAAAAATGAAATCAAATACTTCTTTGCTTTTTCTGTCCTTAACACATTGACGACAATGTGACCCACATGGTGGGTCATGCAATGACTGCGGTTTTAGAGGTTCTGTTATGCTTTATTCCTGGAAATTACTTCCTCGTTTCTTAGCTGCTTCTCAAAATCACTGTAGGGATACTGCAGATGACGGTCTGCTTGATTTTAGCTAAAAATATTCAACTTACTGTAGAAGGCACTGTCCCACAAGGCAGATAGCTAAAAATACACGCTGTCGTCAACGTGTTAAAAACCATCCGATCATAAAACGTGCAAAATTTACCTTAATGTCGAGAAATTCCGGGAATGTCGCAGCGCGAAATTTCGGGAATTCCGCGGAATTTTCCGAATATCGCAGAATTCCCGGAAACCTGGAATTTCGCGGAAGTCCGCGACAATCCCGGAGTGCGACATTCAAGGGAACTTGGGCGTTATGTGAGCGGTATCGTATTCGTCTGCATACTCACTATTGCGTCATCGTTGTGCAAGTTGTTCTACAGCTTTTTTCTACTTCCTAGAAACTCGATACTACAGATGAACTATTACGAATTCATTAGTTTAAAACTAAATCTCCAATGCTGTAATCAATGAAAGTGCGAGTTCCGCATACTGAACAGCTAAGCCAGCGCTAATCAAGCGTTGCAAAGCCAACCCCTAAATTCGACAATATCAGCTTAGCAAATAAGATTTGTGAGTTAGCAAATAAGATTTCTGAGCACCTTGCAATTAAGAAAGAGAGACTAGCATGGAAAAATCAAGAAATTCTGTTAAAAGGCACTGGACCCTGAACAGCTGTGCCATCTGCCAAAATAGATGAAGCCCAATACATCCGCTTTGTTTCCGCACAGCAAAGCAATGGTGTAACCATTTTTCTAACCGTTATAGAAATAATCGCTTGGTGGTTTTAGATCTTTTACCTTTAATCGATTTTGTTTGCTGAGTAAGCCTAATGAATCAAAGCCATCATTCATAGATGTGAATGCCTATCCCCACAGATGAAATGATCATAACATCACTGGTAATGATGTTGGGCAATAAACTATTCAACAGAACAGGTGCTACAGAATCCATGCTCATGATCAGGAAAATTGAAGATAATTAGTATCGATCAGCAAAGGTAAAAAAGCTGTAAATGCGAACCAATAAAATCCAAAAATGACCACATGTGATAAAAGCGTAACTAGGCTCTGAACGCTGAAAAGCTGTCTCTCCCAATTCAGAGAAGGAATGTCCTGAAGCAAAGCCTCAGGCCAGAGGCATGTGACGCAACGAGACTTCTCTAGAAAAACGTCTGTGAAGAATAAACCATGCAGAAACTGGCACAAAGACGAATAATGGTGGAAATATTCGAGTATGCTACTCCTTCTCCAGAAAAATTTCTGTTCATGAAAATGTATTTCGCAATACAAAGTCCAATAATAGTAAAAGTGCTTAGAAATGGTCTTTCACTGAAGAATGCTGTTAAGAAACACTACTGTGGGTGAAACTTTGAAAAACAGCTCCTTGAACCTGAGATTTGCATCAGTACTTTGAATATGGAATTACAGTGGCGAAGGCATTAAGCTAGGAGTTGTAAAAATATATCAGTTGCAAAAAATTATAGTCAGCATAAATTGATAAAGCAAGACATCATTGATAAAACAAACCATTACCCAAAAAACTTTCTAATCCTCTGTTGTAATCTAAAACCAGATATAAGGTGGAGGAGTACCGACAAATGTTGCTCATCGATAAGTTACACTGCATTATTCTTCCGAAGTTGAAGCATAGATGCGTTTGAATGACAGCTGGATGAACTTGTGTTATTTTTCAACTTCGCCCCAGCTTGTGAAGCCCAAAACTCTACGAAGACCGCGATATCAATAGCACTGAACTGCCATATTCCAAGTACCCTATTTTCCGGCGTATAAGCCGCAGTTCTTTTCACCGCGCGCGGGCTGAAATGCGATGTCGTTCGCGATGCACGAAACCGCACAAACAGCAATCACTATCTATTTCGCGCGGTAATCTTATACGAGCTTTCTGCTTGCGTTCTTTATTTGATTTAATCTACTCTCTATCTCTAATCTCTTATAATCTACTGCTTTCAGTTTAAATTCGGCTGTATAGGACTTCCTCCCACCTATGACACCAAAATTAGCACACACACTTTTGAAGGAGTAAAAAAAATACCTGAAGACATGACTATCCGCACTAGAGCGCACCGAGTTTTCAATTTGCTACATAACTCTTTTCAAAGGCGCTTTCGCGCCATTGTTCGCTGCGGCGGGTGCGGCTTATATAAGGTGCGGCTTATAAGCCGGAAAATAGGGTAATACTAAGTGCTTATAGCTGGATCGAGAAGAAAAGCTTCTAAGCTAAACGTTACAAGCTGGATGTGGACTTCACTGAATGAGATGCAAACAGGCTTCTGAGACATTGTCAACAAAAACTTAGTTGAAAATCAGCAATGCACTGGAAAATTTGAGGTTTCGAGCAGAAACGTTATTTCGTTATTGCGGAGGTTCATCTATTCTAGAAGCTTCCGCTGAATATTTGCTTTAGGTAGTGCAAACAGTGGTAGAGGGGAATATGAAAAGGTAGTGTGCGAAGCCAGCCATATTGGTAAACTTCTTCTGCAAATAGAATTAGTATCTTTTTGTGGAAATAGTTTTTCCTGAGGATTTTATTATGTTTATTTATGAGCCTTGCACCACAATTTTTGAAAAATCGTAACTACTTGTCCTTTTGAAGAATTCGTTTAATCCAATTAGCTTAGAAAGGAAAAATCACACGCTTTCTAGTAGCGAAGCAAGAATCTTTTTTTTTCATATCAGGGTGAGAAAAGCCGATTAAGAGAATCACCCGAAGTGTACTTATTTGATTTTTCGGTCTCTAAAAATGAAGCTCCAAGACCCAAATTCAGTATTAATTATGGTACTTGGTCTTTTTAACTGTGTGAAATATTTATGGTGACAGAATGTTTCTACTGATAGTTATGATTTCCGACTTCTGAATGCAAGATTCCGATTTTATTTTGAATAAAATTTCTAATCTAGATAGACAAGAGCCCTTATTGTTTAGGTTTCAAAATATGAAAACTTGAAAGACTGTTCCAAACATTTTTAGGTAAATCTCCGGCACTTTTCGGTGCAAGACTTATGAATGAACTAATAGTATGTGGATTTGGTACAACTTTTTAGAGATAACCAAACGATTGGCTTACTTGGGATAATACAGAGCTTTTTGGATGTCATTGATTTGAGATTTAAACCTTCTCTAAACGCGCAATTCCTAACTAACCGATTTGAAAAAAAGTTGGTAAATCAGGTACAACCGGTGCAAAATAGGCTACAGCCAAAGCGTCAATGAACGGGAGGTAATTTCCGAGCAAGAGGGTAAAACTGTGCATTTCGAATTTGCTTTGGCAAATCACTCGAAAACAACAAAGAGAATCGATAAACAAGAATCAGTAGTTACGCCTATTGCAGACTTTTACTGGGGGCACTTCAGCAATAGAAGGAAAATCGATGGATCCCAGCTGGAATCTGCTCGGAATGTGCTCAATGAACAATCCGGCGTGTTCTGCCGAAGTCAGAGGCAAATGAGGTGGGCAGCAGCAGCTGGATATGAGTGAGACGAGGTCTGTGTGAGGGGGGTCGTGGACACCCCGGTGTTGGCTGCAAAATCGATCGTGAGGCTTGTCCATCTCCCCCCGCTCTCTCGCATTTTCGCGCACGACACAAAGCATTATCGTCGCATCGATGCGGCACTTCATCTTGTTATTTGGAAATTTTACACTAGCCCTGCCATTCCTTCTAAAGATCGTCCTGCTTGATAAAACGTACATTTTTAAAACGTACTTCCTCATCCATTCGTTTAACATCACTGCTCAGAAACTTGTGTTAGGCTCTCAAGACGACAAACCGCGCGTCATAAATCTAGCGTGTAGAAAATTGACAAATAATTGAATCTAGCTGAGACACTATTCTACATAGAGCGTCGAATCTAGTACGCATAGGCCTGGGTTGCCGGCAACACTTGCGCGGAAAAAGCCAAGTGGCGCAGAACTTGAGCAAGTGCGCTCGGCGGCCTTTTTTACGCGCAAATGTTGCAGGCACCGCAAAGGCAAAAACAAGACTAGCATTCAGATCATTCTACTTTTGGAATATAAAAAACTTTTCTAGTATATGGATGCCCAAGTTGCGAAATGGGTCGCGAATTCTGAAGCTACTTACAAGAAATATAAAAATGCAAGCAACTTGTTTATACATGTGAATCAATTAGAATGATTTTCAAATTTTTTTAAAAATTCAGTGTGGACTTACAAAAAATTTTTCGGGGCATCTAATATGATATCTATTATAACAAACTGAAGATGCTATATCGTGGAAAAATGTTACTCTTTTACGGTGTAATTTCTTCTTTGAATGCATTGCTGAGGAATCTCTGATTTATGTTCAGCAAGAATCTTTACAGACTTAACATACATATATTCCTATAATTCTCTGCCAACTGTTGCATCCACTTTGACTGAAACACTCGTAAACTTGTAGTTGATAAAACTATCGCGATAATGTATATCAAAGCTTAGCGTTTCGTACAGTGAGAGTTCTCATCCGTTTCTTACTGCGCCTTCGCTACCACACAAACTTTTATAACTTCACTAATGCTGTATTATGATTCATGGGATTTAATACATTCAGATAAACTATTGTACTGATGTCAATGTATAGTTTTTTGAAAAATCTTCAGCTCCTTGCCTCGAATTAACGACGCCTATGTCACAAGCATGTGTTTCATCTTTTTGTGTCATTAATTATTATGGGAAGAATACTTTCCACGCCTCGAAACAAAAACGATATTGGCTGTCCTTTTCTCAAACTTACACTTATTCTAACTCAAAGGTCGTTGCCTTCTGCCAATCGTGGCATATTTTCCTTCTTGAACTGCGAAGGCTTGCCTTCCATAGTTTGCCTACTCCAGTCCGTTGCAAATTCGGAAGCGTCTACATAGGTGTGGCACGGTGCTAGCACGCATTGGCTAGCTGGCACGGCGCTGGCACCGAGCACTGGATTTGGAATGCAGCCTTATAATATCACCGAATTCGCAAATGGCTTCATATCTGTCCAGGGGGGTTTCACGCTGGTTTATCTTGATTATTCTAGTTTTTTTTCTTCCTCCACTCCTCTTGGTAATCTGCCAGGTTAAGGATATGTACAGTCGCTTCATTTCATATGATCATGTGTGCCATTGCACACACAGTTCACATTGGCGTCCTCATCCTGGGTTTGCAATCGCAAAAACGCAAGAGACTTACCGATTGTTACCGATTACATCAATTTGAGGTGACTAGTAACTAAAAAGGAAAGAAAATGCTAAGAACACCTTGGAAACACTTACCTGAAGGCTTGTTTCTCCCACGAATCCAGGATGGGGACGCCAAAGGTGAACTGTGTGTGCAATGACACACATGATCATATGAAACGAAGTGACTGTAAATGGTCGGGTTCACTTCAATCGTAACTCATATCTAGTGACGAGCGTTGTATTTCCTATTTATTTTGGTATGGGTACAATTTTTAGAGATCAAAATTCTGTAACATGTGTATTCAAATATGAATCTTTATTTTGTACTAGTTGGGTTGTCAATAGCAAGGTATCCGGCTAACTGTCCGAAAGGAAAAAACATCTGGAGTAGAGAAATTGTGTCTCTATCTAACAGGTTGGTTCCTTCAACCAGGAAATAGTGCAACAAAACTAGTAATAAACTGGTTAGACATAATTTCGCTCACCAAGGGAACATAAAGCGATCACGGCAGTGGTATACAATTGCGGATAACTGTTAACAGTTGCTGTCAAAAAATTCAAACAATGCACTTTTCTGGTTACGAACAATTCAACAACAACGATTTTGAGTGCAGATAAAGCGATTGAGTGTTGCATTGGATCTTTAGATATGTAAAAAAAGTATTCTAAATATACCAGTCTTCAACTTTCCCACTATGAAAACACGAAGTTAAGCCTCCAAGGATAGGATCTATTTAGGTCAATGTCATTTTTTCCATTCCGTGAACCACGACTTGGCATGAGGTTTCATGCTATGCTCAGGAGAGAAGTTTTTCTCTAGAGTCTTGATGAGTCTTTTCCGAGCTGGACTCAAACACGCATAACCTTCTTTCCGTTTCTGCCACTGTAATCAAATTAAATCGTAAGAGATTTGATATTGTCCGGTGGTAGAGTTTTCATAATCGACTGAACCTATATTACCTAAGGGACTGTTGGAGGTTAAAAAACTGATAATCTGTTCCATTGAGTTGAAGAGATCACGTACTTCTATCTAGAACTTAAACTAACGAGTGTAAAATCCGTACTCTATATTATCTTAAGTTGACGAATTGCTTATAATCAAACTTTCGGGTAAAATACGTTTCTAGCAAACAAGATGTAAAGTTACAGAAATTACTTATTGGGGTTCCTAGATATTTGTTTCCAGATATGTCGTGAGAGGGTGAATTGAATACAGCCAAATTTTTTTCAAATGAATAAGCGCGCCTTCCGCAAAATTTTTCGGATGCGTTTTCATTTTTGGGCGCTTATCACTTTGAAATTTCGAAAACAGGACGTGGCTGTTGCCTATATCTAATTAGTTGCATATAAGAATTGATTATTTCAGAATCGTGCAAATGCATAACTTAAGTAAGAGGTTTTGATAAAGGTAGTACTATCCCATCCATTCTCACTGAAACTATTGTCCATGTATATTCCGAGAGTGGACATGCTGCATGCCATTACTCACGCCATGGTATATGTTTTTTTTCTGGAAAATGTAACCGATTGATTACCGGATCAGTCACTCACCGCTTAGTTATACTCGCTTTCGTCATCAGCGACCTAGTCATCGGTATATGTGGTGTAAACTCAGCGAAAAAGTAGCTTATGTTTGTAAATTCACGAATCAATCGCACAAAGTGCAAATGCCTATGATTCGGAATTCATAATGAAGTGAATTAATGCACATGTTATATTCGGAACGCTTTTTTGGGGTCGTTCGTTGCAGTCATGAACCACAATCCATGTCACTTCGCGACTATTACATCAAAATCTCCTCGTTCAAACTGAACCAGGTCCATCTTTTAGCTGAATGAATTTTAAAGTCTCCTCGCACTTCGTCTTGCTTTTCGTTCGTTTTTTCCAGGAAACATTATCACATTTTGAGGTCTAGAAAAGAAAAGTTTTGCGCAATAATCAAAAGTAAGACCAACCGGTCGCAATCCATGAACATGAATTTATGTGCAACTAGTTGGCTTTCCCGGTCCAGCCCGGGTCACTGGTCACCGACTTACCTGAGACCCGCTTTGAAACCGCATCCTCGTGATCTTGAGGTGAAAATGAGCTTCACCGCCCTCCTCTACATGATATGGGAAAATGGTTGATTAAACATGATAAACCCTCCATTCCATAGAAAAACGTAAACAAATCAATAAATCGATAGAAGGACCCAACGAATCGCTGCAAAAAGTAGCCTATCATCTGCGCAGGGGTCGAAGACATATGTATGCAAATTTTCAGCTGAATCGGTTGAGCGGCGCGCGTTTCTATAACGCGCATACCCTCCAAACTGACAATTTTTGAGTTTTATATATAAACTAGTTGGCTTTCCCGGTCCAGCCCGGGCCTTGTTCCGCTCACTTGCACTGCAAGCCCCCCCCCCCTTTTATGGATGACTTACCCTAGGGACTTCCGCTCCAAACCGCATCCTCGTGATAATGAGGTTAAAATGAGCTTCACCGCCCTCTTTTACAGATTATGGGAAAATGCTTGACTGAACATGATAAGCCTTCAGTTCCTTAGAAAAACGTAAACAAATCAATAAATCGATAGAAGGACCAAACGAATCGCCGCAAAAAGTAGCCTATCATCTGCGCAGGGGTCGAAAACATATGTGTGCAAAGTTTCAGCTGAATTGGTTGAGCGGCGCGCATTTCTATAACGCACATACCCTCCAAACTGACAATTTTTGAGTTTTATATATATATATATAGATAGATAACAAGTTCTAAATCTTTATCACCTCTTGCTATCGTTCAAGAGAACTTTTGCTCGTACTTCATAGCCGTTTATCGTATTGTAATGGTATAATGTAATGATGTGATCTTACCTTCACCACACAAATTTTGCTTATCACAGATCAAACGATGAGAAGGAGAATGTGAAGGCCAGATCTTCTGACAATGAATGACGGCATATCCTGCATTCTGCAGATTTTCTGC